TAAAGTCTGCAGCACTGGTGGGTAAATGTCTGATTGGGGCTTTTTTTTAAATGTCTGCTCCTGAGAAGAAGCTGCACTCCAGACTATTGTTTCATTGAGTCTGAAGAACTCTTTTAAGCCAGAAATATTAAAAACTGCCTCTGGGCTGGAGATTTAAAAGAGAGAGTGATTTTTTTAAATCCTGTTTCTTTCATAAGTGGCTGATAGCAGTCAAAGAAAAGAAAACTGGAGGTAAAGTTCAAGAATAAAAAAAAGAGGAATGTCTAGTTTTATATTCTATGGAAATTTTTTTGTAAGCTTGTGTAATTCAAATCACTTTTGTTTATTAAAAAAACCACCAGCTTTATTAATTGTTATTGCTTAGGCCCATCATGACTTCAAGAGGATTCCTGAGTGATAGCAGCATGAAGTTCTTAAGAAGGAGTCAGAAACTCACAGGAGTTAGGAAAACAGCCCATGCCAGAAGAAATGGCTTTATTTTGACAGAGTTCCCACGTGCAATCTTTGTTCAGCCAAGGAGAGAGCAGGAGGCTGATGCAGAAGGTCTGGGCTGGTGATTATTAGCCCAAGGAATGTTGAGCCAGGAGCTTCCTGAACCCTGATCCCATGAGAGCCACTGACTCACAGGGGAACCTGGGGCAAATCTCTTGACCTTCTTTTGCTCCCCAGTTGTCCCAACTGGAAATGAGGTGAAAGGCATGATCTCACTGGCAAACATGTGCTTCATCCAAGCTGAGCTCCTCTGAGAAAACAAATTACAATGCCTGCAGCATTTTTCAGCCTGCTGTGTCACCTTGCATGTCTCCTGTGGTCAGAGGGAGTACATGAGCTGCTCTTTGACATTCTGTCCAAATCCTTGTCCATAAGCAGGTGGCTTTTTTCCAGGAGACCCAGCTTGGTTTGTGCTTTAGCAAAGCCTGGAGTTGGCTTGCTGTATGTTGTGGATATTTTCTGTTTTCTTGTTTCTAATGCTTGAAATACCAGTGAGAAATGTATGACAGTAATTTTGCATGGTGTTCACTCAGAGAACCTCTGCAGATAGTCTAGAACTGTATATTAAGAAAAACCAGAAATAACCAGACTCCAAGAAGCATTTGGACAATGCTCTCAGGCACAGGAGCTGTCCTGGGCAGGGCCAGGAGCTGGACTTGGATGATCCTTGTGGGTTCCTTCCAGCTCAGGATATTCTGTGATTCTGGTTGGTTTCCCAGTGTTCCTGGGAATAAGAGATCTGCTTCACCACACATCCAGCACAGCTCTGGTGCATTCCTGCTCTCCCTGCAGGCTCTTGTGTCCTGATCCTCAGAGAGGATGAAAGTTTTAACTGACTTGTCACAATTTCTCTGAAGTATTCCCACCTTGTATTAGGGATATACCCCCCATTCCTGCAAGGTGTAGGGATCATTTTTGAACCCTTTGCAGGTATTTTTTCCTGCTGGGCTGTAGCAGGTGTTGGCCTTCAGCCGGAAAGCTGTGAGGGGAGGATGTCACTCCATTTGGGTCGTTGGTCTTTTTGGAGTTGGAGATGAATTTACAAGCAGGCCACCTCCTCCTTGGCTACAAGAGGGCAAACTCTGCCTCCCCTCCATCTGTTTCCTTCACGATTTTGTGCATTCCTACAGCATAACTTAACTAAACACCATCCTGCTGGTAAAATTGTATTATGTCATTTTCACTCAGTGGGAACTGTCAGCACCAGTAAGATGCTTCATTAAGTAGAAAACAGCAGATAATCTACGAACCCATTCTCAATCAGTCATCATTTTACACAGCTGCTGGGAGCCTTTTCTTTTTCTTCAATAGCCCAGTTTGACGTTCATACTGGTACAAAATGGGGTGGGGCTAAAATTGGCATTGTTTTCAAAAGCCTTCTGTGTAAGATTTGTATTCCTCGAGTCTTCACTTCTGTCCAGAGCTTTCTCCAGAGCTCTGCTTCCATGCAGGATCACTTGAAGGATCAGCCTTTCCAATTTGGAAGGCAAGCACCCCACCAGAAAATGCCAGAAACCTCCCTAATTGTAATGGCGTAATCATGTAATAATAACATCAGCAGGGTTTTATGCATGTGAGGGGTGGTGGGGAGAGACTTCTTGAAGTAGGAAAGGAAGTGTCCCTCCCTTAATTTTTGGATGCAAAAGGATGAAAGGTACAGGTGTTAAAGGACTTTGCTGTTCTCACTTCTGTGCTAAAAAGAGCAAAACTTAGCCAGGCAGTATATAGAGATTACACAGCTCTGTGATATTTTGAATTTTGATTCTTTTTAATGAAATGCAAAACCAGATTGCAGCATCATTGGGAGTTTGTCATATGCTTTAATCACTTCTAAGTCTGGTCAGAGTGCCTTAAAAGGCAAAGTTAGAACAGGGAGAAATTTAGGTTATGGTAAGAATTAGGAATTTTAGCTCCATGAAATCCTTCGAGAGTTGCATTCAGAGTGTTTGTAAGTGAATGTAAGTGTTTGTCACCCCAGGACACGTGCATACAAAATTAACTGGCAAATCAGTATGGAGAGCTAAAATCCATATATTTAATGCTATTATCCTCACTAACATCACTGGGGGCTAATTTAGAAGCCCAAACACTGACAATCAGAATTATGTATTTTGGAAATTATTCACTACTTACTGCTTCTTTCCTTGTCATTATGGGTTTTTTCAATTATTTTTGAAAATTTTAAACATAACGAAGGAGATTCACAAATACTTTGGGAAGCTTCTCCTCCAAGAGGCTGAAGTCTGCCAAGTAAGTGACTTGGTTCTTGTCATGCACTGGAACAATGGCCTGATTTAATATGACAAAGTAGACGCTGCTAATGAGGTGTGTCCTCAGCTCACCCCATTTATCACTGTAAAGCAGAGAAGTTATGCTGCTCTCTCATTAAAGGTGAATTCAGCAGCCCGACACTTTCCAGGAGATGACCCTGTTTCAGATTCCTCTCCTTTTGCCAAAGTATTTGGGATGAAATGTTCTGTGCTGAACAGTGGCCTGAGAAGCATTTCATTTTATTTATTTACTCTGAAATTCTCCAGTGAGGCTGTCCAGGCTTTTTCTGAGGAGGGAGGCTAAACTGCAGCAGTGTTATGAAGAAATCCTCAGTCTCTCTGCTCAAAGTGAAGAGCTTGAAATTTACCTGCAGGCTTCCTCATATCCAAAGGCTATTTTTTATTTGTCTCTCTGAAGGAGAAAAAGAGAAAGATGTCATAGGTAGCAGAGAAACTCAAGAGCAGCCCAAGCTGCAGGAGCATTAACAGGCTGTGAATATGTGTACTGTATTGTTTAGTCATGTACTTCCATGGGATGTCCTTAGCAGAAAATGAACAGTCCTGAAGAGTGAAGTACAGGTATGAAATAAAGTGATTTGTCTGGAGAACAAAACTGCATCTTATGTGGGTGAAGTGCTGCAGAGTGGTGTGGGAAATGAATTTGTAGAGAGGTTTTAAAGTCTGACAGAAGGTGGAAACAACCTTCTGATAGAAGATGGAAATGGAACTAGAAACAAGTTTCAAAGGGTGGCCTTACAAATAAGACTGGATACTTTAGAGAAATAGAACTATGAAAGATGCACTGTAGTAGGACCCACGAGGGATAGTTTTAGATGATTGGTTTTAAGGCAGTTACAGCATGGTGTGACAAAAGCTGATAGGCCAAGAAACACTTACAGTGTATTATAATTGGGAAATAGTTGGCCTCTGATTGTGATAGCGAGAATTAGAACATCTGTATTGTCTCACCCTTCTCATGAGACTGAAAATGGAATAAAAGTTTTTAAACATCTCTCAATTGCCCCATCTCTAGGTCAGAAAAAGGCCTAATGGATAGAGTGGTACCAGAGGCTGTGACAAACTGCAGTTCTGCCCTGCAGGACTGAAAGCTCCATGTCACAGAGTTCTGGGTAGTTCTGAATGGTGCTATAAAATGCTGAGCACTCTGAAAAATTACATCCTGGAGTTGCTGGTGTGCACCCAACTATATTCATATCCCACACTGAACCAGTGCTGAGTGCCATGGGATGTTACTCAGCCAAACTCTTTGGATCAATGCTCCAGCTTTTTTTATTCCCAGGGCTGTTTAGTTCCAAGGCAAAGACTTAAAAATTAAACTCCTTTTCCGCTGAGAGACCCTCACTACCTTATTTCACAAACATTCTGCAGTGAGGTAATTTCTACAACTGTGACCAGTCTTGGATCAGTAAATACAGTGTAAATACAATGTATTAAATACTCAGCCCACTTCCAGAGATTTTGCTGTGTAGGTTGGAAGTGGTGCACTGATTATTTGGTTACTCTGTCAGAGGAGTCTGTCAGTTTGAAATAATAATCTTAGCAGTGAATTGTTTTGCTCAACACCAGCATTTGTCTGGAATGAAACAAAGCTGTTGTCATCTCTTCAGAGCAAGTCTTTGTATGTAGTGCTGTATCAGATTGAAACTTGACATGTACCTCCTGATATTCAGTGTCTCAGTGCAGCATAAAAACAGCTTTATCTGGCTTTATATAGGAAGTATTGCCAAACAAAAATGGTTTCACTTACCTGAAAAAAGAAAAAGGCCAAATCTTGCAGAATGAGTCCCTTTCAGGGCATCAGGCTTTTTTTTTTTCTGCAGTGGCTTTGATGGGTGGTCTTGTCCTTATTGTTAAAGCACTCTTGGTTTAGCCCTGCATATCTTATTAATCAACTTCTGGCTTAGGCTGAACATTTTGAGCATTAAGTTCAGGCTTCAGCTCTCTGCAGCTCTATTCCCATTCATTCTTCTACCCTTTGTTTAGTTGCATCATAAATACTTTTATTTTTAGCTATTTAAAAAGATGTAGCACCTTTCTAGACAGTTGCAGAATATTTTCACAAAGTTTTTCTTGCTGAAGGTGATTTGGAAAAATAGTAAGAAATTAATTGTTGATAAATATAAATGAGCACAATTTGCTTCCCTCACATGACTGTGAACTCCAGCTGGTAAACTCTGGATAGTCATATAATTGCATTTATTTATTTCATTTCCACAGGGCACTTGCTTGGGCTTTCCCATGATGACTCCAAGTTCTGTGAGGAGAACTTTGGCTCCATGGAAGACAAGCGCCTGATGTCCTCCATTCTGACCAGCATTGATGCTTCAAAACCCTGGTCCAAGTGTACTTCAGCAACTATCACAGAATTCTTTGATGATGGCCATGGTATGTGTTATCACTCCCTGTGTCAGCTACATGCTACTTGTTACTGTTAATCTATATCTTTTAAAAAGAACATTTTATGGCAGCTTATTTGCTGGATATGACATTTACCCCTCTGGGAATAAGGACAAAAATTTCGTTTTCCAAAAGTAGAAATGAAAAAGCATAGTCCTCAACTTCACTCTTTAATGAATTTTAAAGTCTTCACTGTGCTCCCAAAGCAACTGCAGTTATTAAACAAACCACTCAAATTCCAAAATGCTGAGATAAAAATGACATAATTGAGTGAATGGATCAAGTTGTTATGGTAACCAAAATGCTTATGGATAAATGTATGGTGTGTCTGCTGAATGTAAAGGTTTGCTTTTAAATATTTTGTTGGCTGATTTCAGTGCTCTCTGAAATATTTTTCTCTGCATGACTTAATTTTTTTCTCTCAATTTTATTAGATCCATTAATCTGTACTATCCTGTTTTATGGTCCATATTGCTCTGGCATTGATTTAATATTACCAAATTAATTTCCACAAAAGAAGAGAACTTTCCCTTTTGAGTTACTGAGGTAACTTTCCCAGCATCCATGAATGACCTCTCAGAGAATGTAAGGAACTGTTTTCTCCTCAGTTCATGAGTAGCTATTATTTAGGTGTGTGGTCTTCAAGAGTTATTGATATGATGAAATTATTCATAGCAAATTTGAACCTCTCATCTTGTAGGTTCATAGACCTCTGGGAATTAATTGTATTGCTGATGGTATTGGTGTGATTTCAAATGCATATTTAAGGAGTCTTTTCTTGATGGATCAGCCATTCAGAGACCTTTTCTAAGTAACAGTCTTCTTTTCTGTAGAAATTTATAATTTCCCAGTTATTTTTTTTAAATAAGGGATCTGTCCTGACAGAATACAAACTTCCATTAAGTTGAAGTGGAAATCAATAATTTGACTTGAAATGATGTGAAAATTTGATCTGACAATCAGTGGCCTCAGCAGCACTGGGGACATGAGTGGTGCTGAATGACACCATAAACTGATTTTGCTCAGCAGTGAAACACCTGACAGCTGAGTGCACTGCAGACACCAGCATTACATGAAGTCAGCTGAGTAAATCCCAGCAGAAATGTCTCGTTCAAGGTCAGCCAGGGGGCTGGGGAGGATCAAGGTGCTGATTCCCTGCCTTCAGGGGCCTGCTCTGAGAACAATAAACAGCTCTGTCATGGTATCACCAGTTTTTTACACTCATGATATGACCCCAGACAACAGTTTGACATTTAGGAAGAAAAGGCTTGGTTCCTGTCCAGAGGAGAGTGACATTTATATCCATCTGCTTTTAGCAAAGCCTTTCCAAAGGTACTAATTGCCTTTATTGTCATGCCAACCACCAGGCTGTGGGATGGTAGCTTGGGACTTGGTGTGTTCAGTCCCAGTGCTCTGTACAACCTGGAACAAGGACTGTTTGTATTTTAATTAATTTATATCCTGCTTATCTGCTTCCTGCACAGATCTTGTTCTGCCTTCTTTCTTTTTTTTCCCCAAGATATATTACACATGGCATTGAGAGAGATAATGAGATGGCTTAATTAGCACTGTCATCAGCCAACAATGTTGCTCTATTCCAGGGCACAAAGATGTTCTTTGGTGCCCAGGACAAAAAAAATGGGAATAGCAGTTATGTATATGCTCTGGATGTTGAAATGTAATGGAGAATTGAAGCCCTCTCTGCCCTCCCACCAGGGGCCATGACAAGCAGGAGGTTGGACCAGCTGGTGGTAAAAGCACCTGCAATTCACTGCAGCCTGTCCAAACACAGACACTGCTACAATCTACCCATATAAAGATGGGGTTTTTTTCCTGTGGGAAATCCTTAGGAGCCTTCCCTATCCTCAGTTTTGAATTTATCGTGTGAGATCAGCTGGAGCACCTGGCTTTGTAGAGATTGCATAGCTTCCCTCAGTTAAGGAGAAGTTTGGAACTCATTTCCCTGTGTTCTGGAAGGGAAAAAATGCAATATTTGCTGTGTGAGCTTGTGAAACTGAAATGATAGACAGATGAGTATACGCAAGGATGAGACTTTCCTTTTTCTCTAAATTGTATTTCCAGTCGAAATGAAACGTTATTATGGTGTTTTAAAATACTGAAAACCAGCTCTGCTTGGGAGTTTGATAAACCTAGGCATAGGTACAAAAGCAGTGTATAATACTGAATATTGACATGCTACAGCCTTCCCATCACTACTCTCACATTTCAGTGGCTTCCTCCCTCCTCACAAGGTATATGAAGGAGGATTTCCCCTGCTGTTCACTTTTACAAAGTGTATTTTTGCCAGAGCTTAAGCAAATTATGTTTTTCCTTATGTAAGGAAAAACCTTACTCCTCATCACATCTCTGATATTTTACACTACAACAACCCAGGGTATTTTTAATTATCTTTATGTCATGACAGTTAGCATTGGCACACCTTGTCTGCATTAAAATTTCAACATAATCCAGATGAAATAGAAGGCTAGGGTAAATCGGGGTCAGCAAGTGGAACAGGTTTAACAAGACAGTTTTTGGTTGCAAGTCATCACACAGAAAGAATTTTTGGCTAATTTGGCTAATTGGCATTAGTCTTTAGAAGAGCAGAACAGTTGCAGTAAGTGTGTGTTTTGGAAGGAAAACTCAAGCTATTGAGAAATGGGGTATTTGGTTTGCTTAAACTCCCTGCCATAGCTTGAAATTCTATTCCATCTTGTGTAAATAGTGAGGGTTTTATAGATAGGCTTTTTTCAGCCATGATGCAAGTGAGGAACACTGGTGTGGGTTCCAAAGTGAGGTAAATTGTGGTGAGTTATTTTGGCCGAGGATGAGTGAAGCTTGCCCAGACCACATATCCCTTTCATGAAGTGTAAAAGAGGTTACACTGAATAAATAGTTCTGCATGTCAACAAGTGAGGTTTTCAATAGTAAAAAAACCCCAGCTATCAGAAGATACCTAGAACATAAATGTGTTCTCATTTTTAGAGTGTGCCAGACAAATCTTGACCACTGCAGACTTTAAAACACAAATACAAATCTCTACATTCATGCAATTTTATCTTCCTGTTATTTATGAGTTTTTGTATAAATTGCATAACCCTTTTCAAACTAGTTCCATAAGCAGCCAAGTATCACTCCTTAGAAGAAAAGTGCAGTCCAGCTTTAGTGGCAACATTAGTTTTGATACCCAGCTTATATTTTTCCTTTAGCCTGGTAGAAATTTTGATTTTTTGATCTGTTTTGTTTGGGTTTTTTGGCCTCATTGGCTACAAGTCTGTGCTTTTTGATTTTTCTGGCATCCCTTTCTGACATCCTGATTTAAAACTCAAATTACAACTGTGCTTGCTTTTAGTCTTGCTTACGCGAGTCTAGCTCGCTCCTTAAATAGCAGACCAATAAATAGCACAGAATGTGTTCAAGTCTTGCATAAAGGATTGAAAGGCCAAAAGGACCTGGGTAAGACTCATTTACACCTCAAGCTGGGAATAGGCAGCCCAGCAGCAGTGTCAGAACACAGTAGCAGCAGTTTGACCTTGTGAAAACGTGCTACCACCTCAGAATCTTCACATCACCATCCCTTGAAGGAGGCTCGCTGTTGCAAAACAGTATTGCAGCACTGCAGGGAAAAGAACAGTAAAACATGGAGTAAAGAACACCTTGTCTTGCTCTTGTAGGGAACTGCCTGCTGGACCAGCCCAGGAAGCACATTGTGGGCCCCGAGGAGCTGCCGGGGCAGACGTACGACGCCATCCGGCAGTGCAAGCTGGCGTTCGGCGCCGAGTACACCGTGTGCCCTGGCATGGACGTGTGCTCGCGCCTCTGGTGCGCCGTGGTGCGCCAGGGACAGATGGTCTGCCTCACCAAGAAGCTGCCTGCCGTCGAGGGAACCCCCTGTGGCAAAGGAAGGATCTGCCTCCAAGGGAAATGTGTGGACAAAACCAAGAAGAAGTACTACTCGGTAAGTTATCCCAAGGGGAATTGGAGAAGGCGATCCCTTGGAGGGGCTGGTCAGACTGAAACCTGCCTTGTTTTTTTAGCATGTAATTAGGATGTTGTTGGTGAGGGATGTAGGAAAAATGCTGCTGAGGTTCAGGAAGTGTATTTTCTTCCTTAAGGAAAGCCATCGTTCCTGGAAAACTGGAGGTAGTGATTTTCCCATTCAGTAAATCATGGCTTTCTGACCTGGCACAGAAAGCAAGATAAATCTCATTCCATGTTTAACTTACAGCCCTTATCTGAAAGGACCCAGGTCCCTAATTCTAATGAAGAAAAGGGCAGATGAAATTAATCCAGAATATAACTTCTGGATCAGAAAAGTTTGTGCTTCCAGTGACGAGAACCCCTGTCTACTTAATACATCTGAAGAATCCCCAGGCTCATGAGAGCTGTCACCTGCACAGTTCAGATACTTCTAAATTCTCTGGGTAGACAGTAGCCCCTTCTGTGTCACCCACAGAAGAGATGTGGACTTGTAGAGCTTTGTGAAAATATTTGCAAACTATGGGAGCCATTCAAATCAAGATACAGCCTTTCTAACACTTTTTAAATGGATTTCTGTACCCTTTTTTATGGATTTCTATGCTTCTACATGATATTGCAATACTATAGCCAATGTAGCAGAGTTGACAGCTCCATCTCTTGCCAGTAATTCCAAGCAATACCTACACATCACAATTGTTGGATTTAATTAATCTCAGATAAGCAGTATGGGTTTATTCTGGGAGATGAACCCCTTGGAGCCAGTTTAAGGGGCCTTGTGGGTAGGAATAGCAAAAAATAAGAGAGCAGCCCATGAAACTGTGAATGTGTTCATTGAAGAGGCTGAAGGCGGCTGTGTGGAGCAAGGCCCAGCGTTGGCTTTGCAAATGAGATGTCATCAGCGTGCAAATAAAAGATAGAAATTCACTTTGCTGGGAGAAAGAAGATTCCTAAGACCTGTTTTCCCTGAAGGCCAACTGAAGGAACTGCCTTCAGCTGAGGAAAACATTAGCAGTGACTTTGAGGTAACAGCTCCATTCATGTTTGGATGATGAACTCACCTCCTGCTGTTCCATGTATTTTTCAGGCTTCAAGCCATGGCAACTGGGGATCCTGGGGCCCCTGGGGACAGTGCTCCCGTACCTGTGGAGGGGGAGTTCAGTTTGCCTATCGGCACTGCAACAACCCAGCCCCCAGGAACAACGGGAGATACTGCACAGGCAAGCGAGCCATCTACCGCTCCTGCAACGTCACCCCCTGCCCCGCCAACGGTGAGTGCCCCCTGCTCCAGCCCCCCTCCCTTCACAGACACTAAACACTGAGTATCTGCCCTGAAACTACACAGCAAGGGCTCACTGTAGCCTCCCCAGGTTGTATTTATCAAGGCAAGACATTCAGCATTAGTACGGTCTCCTAATTCTTCATCCACGCCTCGCCCTGGATACTGTAGAGAAAGCTAAAAAAGTCAGTCCTCTAAAATGAATCATGCAAACTTTAGGCCTTTACTGCTTGTTATGCCATTGGGAGATTTCCAAGCTAAAACAGTAGAGGGATTGGAAGGCCAATTCTAAGTAAAGAAGTGGTGTGACATAACTTAAAAATGATGTAGGAAAGAAATTGGAATAATAGATGGACATAATGATATTTGCAGCATGGTCTGAAATAGCCACTAATGATGTGAATAATTCCACAGCTAAATCCTTCCGACAAGAGCAATGTGAAGCAAGGAATGGCTATCAGTCTGATGCAAAGGGGGTCAAGACTTTTGTGGAATGGGTCCCCAAGTATGCTGGAGTACTGCCTGGAGATGTCTGCAAGCTCACCTGCCGAGCCAAAGGAACCGGTTATTATGTGGTATTTTCTCAGAAGGTAATGCTCCAGTCAGGTTTTCATGCTCCAGCTTAGAAGTGTCCCATATTTTAGAAATCTTTCCCAACAACCAGGGAAAATAAGTTAATCATGTGATGCAAATATTTAACTGTGTGATCAGTTTTAATGGTTTGATCTAGTGGTTGTGCCTTAGGGCCAGAAAATGAGATAAGTTTTTCCATATCTCAGTATGTGAATGCATGAAAATTATGGGCCTCTCTGCGCTCGTTTGTTTTCAGTAGTGGATAAAGGGCTTTCTGTCTGGAGTTTTCTGTCATTATGGGGTTTTCTGGAGGAAAAAGAGTATTAGGAGAAAAGAGTACATCTAACCCTGAACTATGTTTAAGGAGTTCAGAGTATCCTAAAGAACCAATTAGCATAGGATAGTTAGTGGTAGAGATATGACTTGTGGTCAGTTTGTTCTATCAGATGCAATCCAAACTGAAAGTTAGCTTTTGTCCTTGTGCTACATTTCATCTGCTTTTTTACCATCAATATTAGAGAAGCTCAGTGTGATCTGTCAGGGGAGGTGACCTGCTCTTAGTTGGTGACTTCAGTAAGGAACTGAGTTTTGCCAGGTGGATCCAAAGCCACAAATCTCTGTGACAGTCTGAAGCAAGATTTATTTGCTTGCCCAGGTCACTGATGGCACAGAGTGTCGACCCTACAGCAACTCAGTCTGCGTGCGAGGGAAGTGCATCCGAACGGGCTGTGATGGCATCATCGGATCCAAGCTCCAGTATGATAAGTGTGGGGTGTGTGGAGGAGACAACTCCAGCTGCACAAAAGTCATGGGAACCTTCACCAAAAAGAGGTACTGATCTCAACAGCAAGTGCATCTTGTTGTGCAAGTAGTTACTCTGCCACGTGCTGCTTGCTTTCTGCTTCTAAATGCAATTTGCTTTCAAATGGGGGAAAAACCATGCTGCCTGTAGCTTATTGCAGTTTCAAGATGTGCACAGTTGGCTCCTAGCATTATCCTGAAATTGGCAAAGCATCAACTGGCAAAACACTGCACCCAGCTCATTTCTGACACAAAGTGCCAGTGAAGCAGGAATAGCAAGTCATGCCACTTGCAAATCTTGCTGTATCAGATGGATTGTGGTTCCTAGAGGACAGAGGAAAAGGAAGAGAGAGATGAATCAGAAAGTTGTTGGGATCAGAATTATCTGCATCTCTCTGAAATTTTGTATTTCTCACTTGTTGCTGCATTAGCAAGCTACACCATGAGAGTGCTTTTTCATCTCATCTATTTTGAGTAGCACTGAGGACATCCCACCACATTCCTTGTATTAGAAGTGCAGAGAAGCAGACAGCTGTAAACACCTTCCTTAATAGCTGAGAGAGATTATACCTCAAATTTCCCTTTTCCCACTGCTGAGTATGTCTGGAGTTCAGGTGAATAGATATCAGAAGTATCATAGGCTTACTCATGACTATATCCCTTCATATCCCTTCATGTCCATTGGCATAATATCAATCTCCAGATGGATTTTTTAAAGTCAAAATATTTATGGCATTTATCCACAAGCCATTTTCCTCTCAGAGTTCACATTCTTACTGTAATAAAACTTAGTACAAGTAAAATAAAAGTAACTCCTGCCATGGTTTTCCCTCACCACACTGGGGGTAGTACTGATGGACCAACCTCAAGTAAGTTCTTTCTGTCAAGTATTTTTTTCCCTCTTCAATTCTTACAATTCATAGAAAAATTGTGATTTTTAATCATCACTTTTGCAGATACCAAGATCTCAAAGGACTGATCTACACATAAAAACTTTCAGTTGACAATTTTTGCTCAGAATCACTGACTCTGTTAAGCATCTTTTATATATGAACTTGATTTTATAACTTCCAAATTTTTACATAGCCTGTTGAAAGCTACCAGAAGTTGAAATCTGACTCCTGAAATGATCTTTTATTTCTATATATTTCAACAGACTGATTAATAGCAGCCAAAAATGGCTTGGAGAGTGAATTTATTCTAAAAATAAACAAAACTAATCTTCTTCTTGGTAAACCAATGATTGCTCACCTAACAATGCCAAAACATCTCTGCCAAAAAGAATGGCTTTCCAACCAAATTAGTAATTATATAAACCAAATCTTTTCCAATTTGTAAATACTGGGATGTCTGGGAATGTCTAAGTGAAGTTGACAGTGGGAGATGTATTTCATGTGATTTGGCAATAATCAAGCTCCAGGAAAAGTGTTAGAGGGCCTCCATGAATTTCAGGGAGGCCAGATTTGTACCATAGATACACTTGGAAATAGAGATTTATTATAATTATCCCAGTGAAGTTACCATCTTACTCTTCAAATTATGCCTTTAAGTGTCATGAGACTGGCCAGAGGGTAAATTTATGTTTTAATATGATTTTGATTGGATTTGGGACTGCAGATTTATTTTTACTGGAAAAGTTGTTTGGGGCAATTCTTCTCTGCGAGTAATTGATGTTAAAATAAACTCCTGATTAAAATAGTGAAATCTTAATTGTCTGTAAACTGTTTTTACAGTTCTGTTTGAAAGGGCAGTGCTGGTAGGAAAATCATCTTTCCTCCACTGAAAAATGACAGCTCCCTTGTTGCTGTCCACTATAAACTTCAACAATCTGTACATGAAATGTACAGGGAAATTTAAATGTACAGGACAAAACTAATATCTCCTATTGCAGACAATTGCCATGACAACATTTGTTTGTGCTTTTTTTTCTTGTAAAGCAGGCAAACCAGAATCTTCTGGGAAATCTGCTTCCTAGGATTTTTGTTTAAAAAGCTGTAAAGCCAAATTATCAGAAGTTGGGAAAGAGGGGAATTAATCTGCACATGCTTCTCTGTGCACATAGAGCATTAGAGCTCTTCGTGCAGACAACTTGAATTCTCCAGGACTGCTTGTAGGTTTTGAATAAATGATTTTGTAACTGTAATGACATGTTTGAACTGAGTTATTCTGGCAACTCTCATGTAAAAATATTTGTGCAGTGCTGTAGAGCAGAGTCCCCAGCCTGGGATTCACACCATATTGCTCCAGCTTTATAGAGGTGCTAAATCAATGGAGTCTTAAGTCATTGTCCCATAATTGCTGGAAATAGCAGGGGATCAGCACAAATGTTTCATTTGTAATATCTGCAGTCTCTACTTGTGCAGCCAAAAATTCTCAAAATTAGCAGTCTGTTCTTTAAACAATCCCAAAGGAGATGCCATCACTTTTATGTATTTTTCATGTATTTTCTCATGAAACCTTTCAGATATGAGGTACTTTCAGGATGGCTTTGTCACGGGTTAAGGAATGAAAACACATCTCCAATGTCCAGCTGGTAGCTTACAGCTATGTAAAGCCTTTAAATTGTTTTCTATATATCAGTAAAGTTAAAATAACATACTTGAGATAGTGATAAATTCCAGCACACTTGCAAGTTTTGAATGCTTGTCACTTTTGGTAAAAGAGTTTAATCTCTTTTTCTAAACCCCAGCTGAGATAGTTCATAACTAATAGAGAATTCCATGGTGGCACAAATGAAGCCTTTGGGTGCCCCTCTTATTAGACACTTGACTATTAATCTTTGGCTTTATAAATTTCAAAGTAAACAAATTTTTCCTCGGTGATCAAGACTATTTTTAAATGTTCCCAAGGTACCTCTACCCAGCTGTTCCTCTGTTCGTGCTTTCCTTAATCATCATTATAGCAAAGACAGCAAGAAACAGCTGTAACCAATGCATATCTCATTATCTTTTCCTTGGCAGGCAGCGCGTGCATCATATTTCATATCTCCCACCCTTTGCTGAAATCTATAAGCTATCTGTTATTTTTCATTCCTCTGGTATCTGACCCACGTCAAACTGTCCCTACAGCTAAAGATTAAGCAATCTGCAAGAAGTGCAGTAGAAACTTCTTGGGGAACATGAAGAAAAACACAGCAGGCCAAGAGTGGAACCTGGTTAAATTAATCTTAGGGAAAATCCAGGTGGCCTGAACAGAAATGAAGCAAGATGTTGTTGTCCATAGGCTGGACTGAAAGATCTGTTCCAGCCTGCTTGGTGCTGTGATTCTGTGTCATGCCAGTGACTTTGTGAGGTGTTGCAGTGAGACTCTTCCTTCTTTCCCTTCCTCCAGCAAGGGCTACACGGACGTGGTGAAGATCCCAGAAGGGGCGACCCACATCAAGGTGCGGCAGTTCAAAAGCAAGGACCAGAGCAGGTTCACGGCCTACCTGGCCCTGAAGAAGAAGAACGGGGAGTACCTGGTCAACGGCAAGTACATGATCTCCACCTCGGAAACCATCATCGACATCAACGGCACCGTCATGAACTACAGCGGCTGGAGCCACAAGGACGACTTCCTGCACGCCATGGGCCACTCGGCCACCAAGGAGATCCTGATCGTGCAGATCCTGGCCACAGACCCCACACAGCCCGTGGACGTGCGCTACAGCTTCTTCGTGCCAAAGAAACAGGGCCAGCTGCCAAACTCTGTCCCCAGCAGCGGCGGTGGCGGCGGCAAAGCGACGGCGCAGGCCGCGCAGCCCCGCTGGGTGACGGGGCCGTGGCTCTCCTGCTCTCGAACGTGCGACACGGGCTGGCACACCAGGACTGTGCAGTGCAAGGATGGGCACGGGAAACTGGCCAAGGGATGTCTGCTCTCCCAGAGACCCTCAGCGTTCAAACAGTGCTTGCTGAAAAAGTGCTAACCTGTGGTGCTGAGCTGCTCTCCAAGAGGTTTGAGTAAGCCGCTGTTGGCATACTGGTGTCAGGTCTGCCCACACAGACAGAAGCAAAGGCTTCAAAGTACTTGTGTTCAGTCTCTAATTATGGGCAGAATCTGCCTGTTTGGACCAAATGAAGATGTGCACTGCTTTAAATAATGGTAGGGTGGTCTAAATACGTCAAAGAAAGTAAGGTTAAAGTTGTTATAAGCCCTCTGTGTCTGCAAAAACATAAAATAAAATAATGCAAAAGAAGAAAAACTAGTGAATGGAGGATCCTGGGATATTTGAAGGTTACAGAATCATCTCCCCTTTTTCACCTACCTCTACTACAGTATGTCCTTAGGAAATGTCACATGTCCCCATGATCCCACAGTAGCTTATTTTATACTGTTTTGTAAATATCTTTCAGTTGGTATATCACTTTATATCACTTCCTTCTATTAAAGAAATCAAAAGACAAACTACATAAGCAAAATGATTGACCAAAGTATATCTGCAGCCCTTGTGGACTCGGTCCATCCTTCAGAAAGGGCCACAGATGTTTTACTGGAAAATGAAGAGCTTGCTGCTGGTTTTAAAAGTGATACCTTTTGGTTTTGACAAAAGGAAATACGTTTTCATGGTAGGAATTTCCTGACAGTATATCATTAATGTCTGACAAATCCTGTGTTTCCACCCCAAAATTCTCAGGAGGAGCCTCTCAGCAGCTTGCAGAGCAGGGAACCCCCTATTGCTCCAGCAGCAGGAGCATCAGCAGCTCCTCCTCGTGTGTGTGTCAGGCATGCACCAAAGGAGGAGCTGGCTGCAGGAGGAGTTTGTGTACACTGTGCTTGTAAAACTCCCTGGTTCCAGCTGTGTCACAGCCTGGCTCCTTGTTGTCACTGAGCTGCTCGAGCTGCTCCTCTCCATGAAACAAAGGCATACTGTGCTTTGTAGAAAACTAGTTAGAGAACCCAAACTTACAGGTGAGGTAATCAAGTGTCTTCTAACTCAGATATTCTGAGGCTGTGTTCAGCTGCTTTCTCTGGTATTTTCTCTATGGCTTCTGCCTTGAATTTAACAATGTGTAATGTACCTACATCTTTTCAAGAGGCTCTCAAGGTCAAAAAAACACAGCAAGCAGTTAATATTTTATCACTGTTTTGTCCATCGTGTCTAACTCTGGTATTCATCTTACCAGCAAAAGTTTGTAACTATTTGTCTTTTTTTTTATTGTGTGTGTGTTTGGGGTTTTTTTTAAAGCTATAGAAGGCATTCATGTTTTGTATATCTATCACATTTGGGAGGAAGAGGGGTCACTAGGAAGTCAAACCACATCAGGATGTGGAGGACTTGTCCAATATCAGTAAGACTGTTTCCACAGCACAGGCAGTAGCTGGTAACAGTTTTCCTTGGCAGCAATTCCTGAATCCTGTTATTGTCTTGTGGAAGTTCTGTGACTGAGGCTGGGCATTTCACCTTGTGCAGGTGGAGGCCTGAGAGCAGCCCTGGTAAAATTCTTCTCTTTAATATCAGCAGGCTTTGAGTTAGACCCTAAGATAACAGGTACCAAGAGAAAAGGTAAAAAAACCACTGATGAAAAGTAGAACCCCACCTTTTACTCCTTTGTTCATCCACACAGGAGAGCAGGAGGATTTTCAGACAAGCCTCAGTTGTAAGTCAGTGGTACTTGAGCACTGAATCACCTCAGGCTCTTCTGAAAATCCCAGGCATGAAATCAGCAGGGAAAACTCGCTGGAGTGTGGAGCAAGAAGGGCAGGTCTGACTCCAGGCTGACACAAACATGTTTTTGCAACTGTGGCATGTTTGTGTGAACTCTAAAAAATCATGTGATGATTTCAAAACAGCATAGAATTGCTACATCTACAACTGTGAAATCTGGAGAAGGATCTGGGTTTTTACCCTGTTTTAAATAAACAGTACCAAGGGCAGGGCCTCCTCCTCTGTTAAATGGATTGCCAACAAATGTTATTAATAAGCTTTCAAAAGTGGTGTGGCCTTCTGTTCAGAAGTAGATCCTGTGCAAAACTATGCATCTTGATGAATACTCCCCATTTATTCTTGATCCCAATCTAAGAACTGAGATCAAGGCTCAGATGATTTGCAGAGTACTAAAAAGTAAACATTTATGCCTCCTCTGCCTGTTAAAATAAGATCACTTTGAAATGCATTATTTTTCCTTCCAAGCAATCTAATTCTGATGCTTTTATATGTATTACACATGTCCTAGAACCTCTCCAAAAAGTCCATAACAAATAGAAACCATCATGAGAGGAAAAAGATCAGGAGATTGAATGTGTCTCAGCATAGACAGCATTTGTCTCAGCATACAGCTGCTGCATTAAGTGGTGTTTGTGTTCTGTCATAATGGAGACAGAATGTGCAAGTATTTGTGTTTGCATCATGGTAATAATTTATTATATATTCAGCAGGCTGAGTAAAGCTTTTGGATGCTATCTAAGCATGCCATATGCGGGTATAAATTCAGAGTTTCCTTAGATCAGGAGTATCTTTTAAAAATAAAAAGAGTTTACTTAGAAATAAATCCAAGAACAAGCCACTGCAGTGATTTTCACCAGTGTAGCAATGAAGCAAATTCACACAAGCAAAGATGTGAGGGGGCAAAGGGGACAGACCAAGGCAGGACCTGAAAAGTGTAAGATAAAGGGTAAGCCAACACTTGCTTTTTCAGGTGTTCCTAAATCAGAGTCCAGTTCCAAACCTTGCCTGTGGCAGTCATGGCTGTCCCATGTACCTGATAGATGAGAATTGGTGTGAGGTCTGTTCTCAGCTGAATCCCATGTCACTCACACTGTGACATCATTGTTTACATTTCTGCCCAGTGTTGCACAGCTGGATTCATGAAATGCACTGAGGGATGGAAACCTGGAATTCTGCTCTTGGCACAGCCAGGAACAATCTCAGTGTTAAATTCACTCTGACTTTGGGACACACTTCCAGTGCCCATGGCAGAATTTGGACCCCAGAGCATCAGTGGGGTTTACAGCATCTGCTTTTCAAGTAGGATATTCTCATTAGAAAAAAGCCTGGCATCTTTGGTTTGACTGTGTACAAGAAATTAAGTTTAGCTGCCCTCCTGTGGAAACAGTTTTATCACAAGGGGAAGAGGGAGTAATCTTGTGGATTAATAACAACTGTTTAAAAAAAAAAGCAACACAGCACTGAAAAAAATAAAATAATTTATTGTTTTTACAACTGGTATGTGAACGGATGTAATGAATTTATTTATTCTTATTTAACAAAATACCAATTGTGCAAATTCTGTATTTAAAATGTTTTGCTATCAACTCTGTCTCTCTTTCTGGCTCTCTTTTAATTTATGCTTCGGGTTTGTGTTGAAAGTACACCTTGTGAGTTTACATAATATATGGCACTGGTCATTTTTTGTATGATTTTATTTAGAAGACTTTCTGCATGGAACAGGAGTATATGTGTATACACACACGTGTAGATGTATATTCTTTTTCTGCTGCCATCTTTTCCTTCGAGAAGTTGTAGCTTTTAAATTTGATGACACCTTGTGCTCCAAGCTCCTTGTTGCACTTCAAAAAGCTCTCAGCAAGCAAGTCCCAAAGGTCTGCGGGCCAAAAAAGCCCTGGAGTGGCTCCTGAAGAATTCACAAAACAGATTGGTGTTGCAAAGGCACGTGCAGTTCATGCTGGAGGCCTCAGTGATTAACCCCCAAAGCTGATCCTACCCCTTGCTTTAATTGTAGCAGAATTTCAGTAACTGGGAGCCCTCTCCATGGGTGTAAAGTTCCTCTGAGTTGCCAGCACTCTTCTCTCAGGCAGCTTCTTATGTTTAAGTGACAACACTAAAGAGAAAGCTCCTGGGTGTCTCTATAAAATAGCTTGATAAAAATATTATTTGGTTTATGAGGATTGAATCATTAAAAAAGCTGGTTTTTCTATGTTATCACTGTTTATATACATATATAAATATGTATATATGGCTATAAAAAGTCAAAAGCCCAACTTGGAAGGCTTTGCAGTGTTTTACTTAATTGTATTTCAGCTCTTTGCACCACATCAGGCAGATTTAAAAAAAAAAAAAAAAAAAAACAACACAGCAAAGCATGTTTCCATGAGAATAATACCTGTTTTTCTTCCAGTTCAACTAGTGCAGACCTCAAGGGAACTAGAATTGGGTGCAGTGTGAGGGGAAAAATGTGATGTGGACAAACCTCTAGCTTTTCTGCAGTCAGTTCATTGACCAGCACAAATGGCTCTGCAAGGGCAGTACCACAGCCTGCACATAAACAGTTCCACACTGCTGGAAGTCACCTTGCTCCAGTGTTCGTCTGAGTTAAATTCCAGCTCAGCGTCTCCTCTGCCACCCAGGCACTGCCCAAAGCCAGTCAGCCATGAGGCTTTAGAGGAATTAGGGATGGCCAGTGGGTGATGCTTCCTCTCAAGGCTTAATCCAAAATTCCAGGGGATACAAGGCTGAGCTTTGATGATCTTAAGGGCAGGCTTTGAATAGGGTTTATCATTAATTGTGGGCTTTCAGGAGTAAGTTCAGGTGAATGTTTCTCCTCATGCAATGCGTTGTCATTGAGGAAGTGGAGCCTATAGCAAGAGGCAAAATTGGATTCTCTGGGCATAGGGTGGAATTTTCAGGGGGGAAAAAAGTTACGTGATTTGGAGATTTTTTTCCTTTTTTTCATGAAGTGATTGGACTTTTATTGAGCTGCCAGAGTGCCTCACTGCATTCACACTTGCCATGTTCAACAGTTTCAAGGGCTTTTTTCCTATGGGCGCCCTTATATTAACTTGTATAGTAAAGCTAGTTCAATTCTTGTTCCAAACAACATTGCAAATGTAGATACTTCTGGTTTATTACACACACCAGCAATGTCTCAATGTAAGAGAGATAATTGGGTCCTCAGCTGGCAGCCCATAAGGGGCTTTGGGGCTTAGAAGGTTTAACCGCAAGCACAAGTTTTCAGTGATAAAGTTTGA